CACGCGGCCGGGCCGGGCCGGGCCGGGCCAGGCCGGGAACCCTCGGTGGGCTCGGGCTCCCTGAAGGGAAGTGCCCCGAGTTCGTTCTGGCCGAGGAGGAACGCTCTCCGGCTGCCACCCTTTGGGCTTGCATTCGGTTTTCCACCGAGCTCAGCAGAATTTTTGAAGAGCGGGGAAAGTTATGAGCTCGCGTGCCGAGTGCCTACAGCGTCCTGCACGATGCAGCGGGCACTTGGAAAACGAGACACTTTTGCCCAGCAGTTTCGTGCTGTAATTTTCCCATAGTGCCGAGAGAGAGGTGCAGGCACTGTCCCGCGCCTCTCTTCCATCACCTCCTCGTTATTATCATAACCTGTTTATTTTACCCATTTTGCTTTTTACGTGGAGCCAGCCCTGAAACCCCTTACTCAGAAAAACCTCCCAGTGACTTGGGATGATGTTTGCCCGGGATAATGTCTGCACGATGCGGATCCCTGATGGTTCAGCGTTACAATGAGCGTGCTGTCTCGGTACAAAATTCAGTACCGTGTATTCACAGCGCTGGAAACTTGGCTTTCTGCAGCAGGATGCCCGCCTCCCTTGTTGACAGCTGCCTCCCAGAGAAGAAGGGATGTACACTGAGGATGGGCATTAATATAACTGTTTTCTTTCATAACAGCTGTGAGTTAGGTGACTAACTCTCTGTCTTGCAGGACTCCTAATTTTTCTTCAGATGTATTCTAAAAAGACATACAGTCTACATGACTTCTTTCTGGCAATTTATAAGACACTGAGTAGTGAATTGTAGGTGCTCTTCTTTTAGGGTTTTCAAAGGCTATTACTGTACTTTGTTACTGGGAAATAATTTTGTGTTAACTGGTATCAGAAGCTGCCACGATCCACTAACACAAGCGGGAGTCTTGAGAGGTTTGTTTGATCTCAGAGTGCAAAAAGGGCTCCAAGGGATTTCAGTTTAAATCGCAACAGCAATGCACCTTTATTTTAGTGCCAACAACAGGGGTTATGTGATAGATGAGAGGGAGAGAGAGAGGGGGATAAGTAGACAAAGTAGAAAGAAAAGAAGGGGGGTTATAGCTACCAATGGATGAGACAGGGTTGCTGGTGTCTTCTTCCATGGGGAGATCTCTCTCAGAAAGTAACTTAGAAAGTCACTTTTATAGTCTGCTTCAAAGCGAGGGGCAGTTGGCCAAGAGGTGGGGAAATTCATAGGCTATTTTGATGAGACCTGTTGCTCTGGGAAGCAGGTGTAAGGTACAGAACAGGCCGCTCTTCATGAGTCCCTGCTCACCAGCAGGAGCAAAGGCAGTGTACCGTGGCAGCACAGCAAGCACACCTGCAAAGAATCACTTGGCAAGCATCCATCTCAACCAGGTCAGAACCCCTGTACCAAGTCCCTTGGGGTCTTCAGGGTCTTAGTCTCTGTTCTTGCGATGGACATGAGGCAAATGAGGGAAACATGGAATATGATGGATGCTATGATACTTGAGTTTCCTTGCATGCAGTCGCATGGCTGAAACCCACAGTTCCCTGGATGAACGTGTTCATTCATTTGCACGCACTTTCTTCTTTCTTTCTGTCTTGTTTTCTGCTGCACAAACCTTTTAACGCTGTATTTAACATTGCATTAAACACCGTAACCCAAAAGAACCAATAAATCAGCTTTTAGGATCAGCAGCTGGCATTCTAGCTCAGGGGTTTTGTTCACATCATGGTATCATTTATCACATCCTCATCAATATGAACCTTTAACTGGAAACTAATAATGGACTCTTTGTTTCTAAAGTTTCTGAATGAAGAGTGATAGGAGCACAAGAACTGGATGAATCACGCTTTTCCATACAAAGCTTCCCAACTTAAATTATGCTTTTGGACCTCTAAGACAGTGTGGTAGCCAGAAGGTAGGCCTCAAAAACAATGACTGCCCTTCATATTATGAGTTCCTTAAAAATAGATGTGAAATTCACTGTATTTGTTATTGAGTTTTTTACAGGTAAGTTCACCCTACTAAGTTCTATTTGTAAACTATTCTTTGAATTGTAACAGCTAGAAGTAGAAGTCTACTTCTACTTCTTATGTAGAAATAGAAATTCTAAAATCTGAGGCTTTATGAAAATACATGATACCCCAAAACATTGGTTAAAATCACCAGGGCTAGCCTTAGGAATGGGGGGAAAATAACTGAAGTGTGCCTTCATCAGTGCATGCTTTCTTGTGTGTAGGATATACAAAGGATAACCTTTTCCTACACCATTAGCCGGTGTAGGGAAGGGTTAACAGCCTGACCTTCAGACAGAACTCTTGTTGACCCTCCTCTGCAAAACTTGTCTGAAAGGTTGTGCTCAAAGGGAGAGCTGACTACTAGGAGGGAAAAATCCAAAGAGAAATACTACAGAAAAGAATACTTTAAAAAAGAATACTTCAGCTTCATTCAGTGCCTGGTGGCCTGGCAGAGAGCAAACCCTCATAACAGACAGTAAAGGACTGTAAGACTCATCCACTGAAGGAACCAGACACAGTAAAAGAAGAAAAATTGTCAAAAGTGTGATTTCTCCATATAATTTCCCAAAAGATTTATTGATATAAAAGAATCAGTAGTTAGAAAAACAGTTAATATCTAGTAATTCAGCTGTTCAGTAGGAAGTACATGGAAGAGCCACCTAGTAATTTTCTCAAAGGTTGTCACAGAAAGTCACTCTGTGGTACGGCATTCTGAGCTTCCAGTAGAATGATGCCAGTGCCTCTCCTGCAGTGGGAAACAGTGTGGTGTACACCTGGGAAGTCCTTGTTGCAAGGTCCTTGCAGGCCCTGATTTTATGCTCTTCAAAATACTGTCTTTCCTACTATCCTAGGATTTTCTATCAATGCTCTTCCTTTTTTCTTCTTTTTCTGCCATCTGATTTTTTGTCATCCCTAATAGCTTAGAACCATTTCTGATGCTACTTGTGGTGATGAGTATTGCCAAAATACCTGGGATCAGCATGAGTGAAGCTCCAGTTTCTTGACAATCTTTAAGGGAGAATACACCTCTAAAGCCTCAGAATGACTGTCAGGTAGACCAAACCTAAACCCTAAAATATATTAGAAACAAAACATCTCCATGGGCTTCTTGCATCAGCAAGTCTCATGAACTTAAGATCCTTCTTCACAGCATTTTACATGTTTTTTTTCTGCAAGCTGTTTCAAACTAATTTTTTGTCATTTAAAAACTTGAATTAATGCATTATTTCCTCTGATGACAGGGATATTAGGCTTAAATATTATTTTTCACTAGTAATTTTGTTCTGTTGATTTATGCTCTCTCTTAGTCTCTTCTTTACCCAGAAAATAAACTGAGACTTTTCCATTCTCAGAAGACAGACTTTCTTTTCCCTAGTTGACTGTACCTTCTCCAGCAAATGTGTGGAGGACCAGGAAGAAAATAATTTCAGGGAAAATAGGCCTTAAAGTTCCAGTATGGTGTTTCAAAACCTGTTTCACATCCTGTGTTTGTTTTGCAGGGAGTTTCCACAATGGAGAAGAGGGAAGGTGGTAATTGTGCCATTGATCAGAATACAGGTCAGAACATCATGCCAAGAAGAAATACAGGAAATCTTAACTACTTGGTAATGTTTCTGTGAAAAAGCAGCTCATATGTCAGATAGAATATTGCAATCCTTGATTCAATTTTGTCCAGAGATGGTGTTACCATCACACTGGCATATCATGAATATTTCTGAAGTGTTATCACAATATTGACATGAAGATATAAAAAGATAAAGAACATCTCATTCAATTTAATCACAGTCCATAATAAAAAATAAACAAAGTTTGGAGCAGCTAAAAACTACATGAGGGTAGCTGCTAATTGTATCTTACCAGATGAGCAAAACTGCATAGAAATAATTTGGGATTTTTACACATGAATATAAAATTTATCTTCGGGGGAATCTTCATGATAGCAACATTGCACTCAGGAAGTCTTCCAACTCATGCAAAAAAAGTCCAGAAAAAAAATCCTTTAATCCTTTCTTTTGCATCATTAAGTCTATAGCTGAAATTTGACATTTGAAATCTATAACTTACATAATAAGCTGAAATGATGCTTCACATAATGTAATCCTTCCTTCCTTGCAGTGTAGTTATCTTCCTGGAATGAAAATCTATTTTAAAATCACTGCAGATAATGAAGAATGGGAAATCTACACTTCCTTTCTGTCCCTTCCAGAATGTGGATATGCAGGTTGCCAATCCATCAGAAGCAGCTGCACTTTTTGATTTACATCAAGCACACCATTTTGGTGAATTTGAACACTCTTCAGAACAGCACTGCAAGCAGGATCTGTTCCCTAAGTGGCACTTGCCAATGAAGATAGCATCTGTGATCTCATTATTAACATTTATTTACACGTCCATGAGAGATGTCATATATCCTTTTATAACCAGAAAGGAAAACGTTTTCTATAAAATTCCAATCCTTGTCATAAACAAAGTTTTACCGGTGACTTCAATTACCCTTTTAGCACTAGTATATTTACCAGGAATATTAGCTGCTGGTTTCCAGCTGTACTTTGGCACCAAGTATAAAAGGTTTCCCCAGTGGCTGGATAGATGGATGTTATCAAGGAAACAATTTGGACTTCTCAGTTTCTTCTTTGCTACACTGCACGCCTGCTATAGCCTGTGCTATCCAGTGAGAAGATCATATAGATACAAGCTGCTGAACTGGGCATTCCAGCAGGTACGATAAGCACGCACACACCAACTCTTTTGTATTCAGAAAATCCTTGGTTTGATCATTCAGGCAAATCTGGATGGAGGAAAGCCATTTTCATTGCCTTTGTTTGGTTTGCAAGTACATTCACAGAGAGCACTGTTGAGGGATTGGGCAGGACCTAGTTGCAAAAGCATGTAATAGAGAGTCAAGAGTCATCACAGCTGTGCCAATGTATATTAAGCAAGTCCTTTTCTTAATTTGGGATTTTTTTTTTCCCATCTGTAAAATGCACAGAATTGTATATCAGAGGAACATTTAAGTCTTTGACACACTATTTAGTTTAGTGTAGCTTTATCTTTTCTGGACCAGTGAAATCTAGAAACAAACTGAGCGCTGAACACAACATTTTTAGACACCTTTGGAAACTGAATCAGCCAGCAGTGAAGGAGGGATGAGCTAAATTACAGTAATCTGTATTTGCTCAGACTAAATTTGTGAATACTGATGGCTCACATTTGGACTGATACACACTACCTGGTTTAAAAAGAGGATTTCAATGATGCTTCTAACTCAAGGGCAGTGGAGAGTTGGAGCTCTAGTTCCAGTGGGGCATGCAAAGCTCTCCTATGTCCTCTGTGACCAGAGAGTTCTTAGTGCTCACCTATTTCTTTGGGTGCCATAAGTAATACAGTATTAGGAATATTCCAATATAAAGTATAGATGGCAAATGTATGTTTTTATTACCCCTAAAGTCTTTATGATTAAAAATTATTAAAAGCACAGTATGATGATGTCAGTAGATCCTTAAGATTCTTGTAAGCAGTCAAATTACCTGTTCAAAACTCTGAAATCTGCCTTACTGGTAATCTGACTTGAATGGATTACTAGAAATTTCCTTGAGATTCCAGTCTTCAAGATGCAGAAATGATCATATTTGGGGCATATTCTGCCATGGTGATCACTAGCAGGATCAAAGTGCTGTTGCAAGTAGTTGTAAATAAGAGAAGCTTTGACAGCAGTTTAATAAAACCACAAATATACCAAGTTGTGGGGTTTTTTTAAAAACACAGAGGTAAACAACTATCCTGGCAGGATATTTTTATTAAGAAGGCCTGTTAAATTACTTCCCTGAAGTAGTGCTGTTAATATATTTCCTGTTGTTATAATCTCCCTGATATGGTATTTAGCCATAGGTGGGGTTTTTTCCTTGTCACAACCAAGGTTTATCCTTGCTGTGAAGGCAGGTTAAGAGGCCTCAGAATCAGGCTCTCCTGGGCTGTGACACTGATGAAGTCTAAATTCTTCTCTCTAGAAGCTCACCTTTGCTGTACAGATACTACAGCAGTTTGTATACAGATGTATACAGATACAAATAGCAGTTTGATTCAAAGATATTCAAACCAAAATACTCTTTTTCTTTGCTTATTTAATTAATATTATGGTGAAAATAGTGAAATTATATTTAACACAAACAGCCAAATGTTCCAGTCTGTAATTTTTATGGTGTTCTTTTGGCAGGTCAAACAAAAAAAAGAAAATGCCTGGATTGAACATGATGTTTGGAGAATGGAGATTTATGTGTCTCTAGGAATTCTGGGACTTGCTTTGCTGGCTCTGTTGGCAATAACATCAATTCCATCCGTCAGTCACTCTTTGACCTGGAGAGAGTTCCACTACATTCAGGTGCGCATGAACGTCATTACTGCACGTTGTTAGTCCCATTTGTAGAACTGTGTGTTATCAGCTAAGACCATTAGGAGTTAGAAATACGAAGCACAGAGTTAGTGAAACCAATCGAAAAGTTTGTTCTGTACTCTTTGTTAACTGATTTGTGAGAAATGCTCTTTTCATTTCTCTTTTGTCAGGAGAACAGGCTGTGTGTTCAGTGTATAAAATGGGAATACAACTATACCACTTTTTTTTCTCCTCCTGACTTTGTGACCAGCAGCAGTTGTCCCTTTGAGACCTTTTCTTAGCTCTGGTGCTGAAGTCATCTTCTAGGTATCTTATCTCTCCGGAATGTCCCGCGTCCTGCCAAATTTGGAGCAGGTGGCATTGAACCAGTCAATTGCTGTTCCCGTATGACACAGTGTATTCTGAAAGAGACATCTTAGAACAGATGCTGGATAATCAAATCCAGCCAGTCTCAAGTTTGCTCTAGCTGTGCTTTTTTCCTTAACCCAGGCATATGGGTTACTCTCGATTCTCTTATATCAATATGCAGTAATTCTGCTGACATCAGTATGGTCACACTAGACTTAAGTAAGTGTTGGATCAAACACTCCTCGAACATCAAAATCTGAAAATTCAATAAGTACCTGGCATTTGAAGATTTGATTTATATTTTAAAAGCAGATCTGAAGTGTATAATCACCAATTCCTGATCTGATATTGTACACACTATCAAGTCCATCATTTGTAAAATAAGTGTACAGAGAATATGGACAAGTCAGGAGGAACTCTCCAAAGGCATGACTACTTTCACTATTGAAAGACTGATTGCTATGGTGAAGAAACCCAGAAGAGTAATACTTCTGTGTTGGACTTACTTTATAAATAAATAACCTTATTGCTTAAAAATCATGTTCTGTACATTCAGCAGTTGGAAAGACAGTGTTCAGCTTCACTGATGAGTACAAGATTATTTAGTGACAAGAAACTTAAAATTACGAGTAAATTTTCTTTACTCCTGAATTTTGTAGACAAGCTAAGCCAAATTTATCACGGAGTGAAATGAAAGACTGGAGTTTCCTGTAGTCGGGCATTGCTTTTTCCACAGTACTACCAGTGCTTGTGATCTTAATTTAGCTTAAAATTTTCCTTTGCAAATAATCAATTAATCCCTTAATGTATCTGGTTTTGAACTCATAATGATTTATCACAGAGTTAGAGTAATTTAGTATACAGATGGCATCTGTAAATTGAGATATTCAGGATTGAGCACGTTTCAGGAATAATCTGCAATCTCTTCCGTATTTTAGCTAAATATCATAGCAATACTTGAAAAATGTGCCTCATCCATTTTCTTTTACAGTGGCATAAAGGAGTACAGTTGCAGTCTTGGCTTACAGTTCTTACCTTTTAGTTGAAAGCCAATGGTTGCTTTCCTTTGACTTGAGCATGTTGGTCAAGGCCCATCCAGATTTCTGTATTTGCTTAACAGAGTACTTTTTTTGCCAGTTTGGGAAAATTAAATAGCTTGCTATTTTCTTTCTCTTTTCAGAGCAAGATGGGATATTTAGCCCTGCTGCTATGCACTGTTCATGCACTGGTGTTTGCTTGGAATAAGTGGGTTGATGCTAACCAATTCATCTGGTATACGCCGCCGTCATTTATGGTTGCAGTTTTTCTTCCTATTGTAGTTCTGCTTTGTAAATGCATACTGCTCCTTCCATGTTTTAGGAAGAAGATAAGAAAAATCAGAAGTGGTTGGGAAGCTAAGACACAAGTCAATCGAACTAGCATAACTTCCAGACTGTAGATCAGATATGGACATTTCCTGTCTATGTATGTAAATATGCTCAAGGCCATGATATTTTCACTCATGAGCTCTGTTTTCACATTTGCTATAGATGTTTCTTTCTCACTTTTCTTTTTGACTTCAGCAGTATGAGATGCTTGATGCAATTTTGTCATTTTCAAGGACAGAAAACAAAAACATTCATTTTATACTTTATTCAGTGTTCTGGTGTTTCATGATTTCTTTCTTCTGCCTCACTGCTTTTAAAATCCAAGTGTTTCATTTTCTCAATCCCAGTTCTTTTGTATGCAAAAGAAAACATAAATAATTTCTCCAGGTGACCACAGAATTTAAAAAAATTATTGCACCGCAGAGCCCAGGAATGCTTTCTGCTTCACACAACCATGTGTGTACCTTCATTTAATCTCAGAATTATAATGGGACAAAAACTAGAGTATCATCCCATTGCTTCTTAGCATCTGCAGCCTGTGTTTCACTCTGCAGAATGGGGACCTTGGCATATGAGCCAGACAGAAACTGTGTATTCCTGCCAGGTTTTGAATGTACACAAGTGGGCAAGCAGAACTACAGGGATCTTTACGAAGTAAATATCTCCTGAGGCTTGGGCACAGTCTAAAAAAAGAGTTTTTAGACTCAGATCTCCGTTTTATCCAGGACTAGGTGTGTCTCTGTTTACTTGAAACGATAAAACATTTCCCATTTTTTATTCCATGAACACATTCTTTTGTTTCTGATGCTGGAAATTTTCCATGCTTTTGACCTAAGCCTGCAGCCCTTGACATGTGCTAAAGTTTATTTGCACAAATTATTCCAGTGGGATAACTCCATCAGGTAAATGTGTTATTTTGTTTACTCTAGGGCTAGCACAATTGTGTGACTGGAAGAAAAACATTAAAAATAGACATTTGAATCTTGCTATTGATTTGGTGAGATTCTCATGTTAAATGGTTTCTAAGTGCATTTGCTTTTACAGAAATTTTCCTAATATCTTTAATATGCTCCTTAAATCCTACTTTCCTTGTATTGCATAGGTCTGGTTGAAAGTTGTAAATGAATAATTCATTTGTTAGTATCAGTTTTGAAATATGTTATTCAGTAGTAAATATTTTCACCCAACATTTCTGCCAATCTGCCTGCAGAAGTTGACTGGGACATGGACTGTTGATGCCACCTATTTCTGGAATCCTCTGAATGAGAGCTGTAATTGGTAATGGCTCTGGTATTAAAAGAGGAAAACAACATATGCCTAAAAAAATACATGACGCTAATGAATCTGTTGTCCCTTTCTGGACTTTTGCACGGAGCATAAATAAATAAGCAGAAAAATTAAATAGCTACAGGGATATTACATTTTGTATTTTCCTGGTTGTTAACATTTAATTATTGCAACTTAAAAGTTGGCCTTTTTTAAATTTGCACATATAATACTGTGAAAGTAACTGGGGACATGGTGGCCTGTATAATATAGGTTGAAATCTGTGGCATTATGTATCAAACCAGTAATACATGGCAGAGGCCAGTACCCTTTAATACAGGAAGCTGGACTGCAATGTTAATCTAAGTTTCTAACAGAGCAGGAAAAGTATGGTGCTCAATGTATTTGCATTTATATTTTTATGAATGAAATAAATCTTTTTTAAGTTTAAGCTCTATGCACTTGTTACAGATAGTAACAAGTAGTAGGTAGTGCAAGATAGCATACTTCATTCATTTCAACCAGTTAATATGGTTCGAATTTATAACATAAATTACAGGGGAAAATCAATTTCAAGATCATCACATACTACCCAAACTGACCTTTTACACTCATCATTCAGCTGGGGACATTAAGCACACTTCAGACTTTTCTCTCTAGCATTGCCCAGAGGCAAACTCAGAAGTGTCTTCTTAAATATGAAATTTACATACATTCTACAAAAGCTATTAAAAAAAACCACACATGACATCGAAACTTTAAGCATATTTTTCCCTATTGACTGTTTCAAGTAGGAGCCAAGCTTTCTGTGTCACATCTAGCCCTTTCTCTAGAAGCTACCACTGGATGCTTATAGCCAGAACTTGAGACTTCATATTGAGTCTCTTCCCTACTTTGTAAGTCTTTTGCCAACTACATATCAGTAACTCATTTCCCAGTCTGTAGGCTGCTCAGGGAAGTGGTTGACTCACTATCCCTGGGGGTATTTAAAATACACATAGATGTGGTGCTTAGGGACATGTTCTAGTGGTAGGCTTGGCAGTGTTAGATTCATAGTTGGACTTAACATAAATGATACTATGATTTGTTCTTCAGGAATCCAGATACAACAGTGAGGGAGATCTATATAGGGCTAAGAAGAAAATGCCATTGACAGTATTTATTTTCTCCATTTGTAGCAGACATGATTTAGTTCAATACTGATGAAACTTATTTAATCTATGTTTATGTACCTGTTTCAAAATTCAGTATATTAATAGGCCTATATATTATTGTAATACATTAATTGAATGTGTGTGCACATTTTAGGCACTTATTTGTATAACACTAATTAGTTTTATAAAACTGTGCATCATTAAATGCTTCAATGTATGCTGTATCTGCCATTGTGTCATATACATCCAATGTCAAAGGGTAAAAAGGCACACTATACTCTAGAAGAGCTGGTGATATAAACAGTCATGGGGAACCATTTTCTTCTTGCTAGTGAAGAGCCTGGAACCTCCAAAGGAAAGAAAACAAAGATGTAAAAGCAAAATGAACACTTTCATAGCATAATGAAATTGCATTTTTCTTGGTGGAACCTTTAACTGTATGTAATAGCATCCAGAGGTTTTGTGAGAAGGAAAGAAGGCTTTGGAAGGATACCCAAGATCCCTGGAAATACTGATCAAAGAACAAGAAAAGTTCAAGAATAGCAAGGGCATTGAGGAAATGCATGTATGGGCATATTTTTGTGTAGGAATCCATCATTCTAGAGGCAATGGCTTTAAAATGTCTCTACAAGGCCTGAAAAGTACTTTTTTTCTGTTGTTACATGTCTCCAATGTATTTGAAAGACACAGAATTGAAACTTTGGAGATACTAATTCCTAAAGGGGCCTAAGGAATTTTATGCCAAATTCATTTGGAGAGGTCTCATCCAGAATACTTTGACTGAGAAGTGATAGTTCATTGTTCAGGAAGCTAGAGCCAGGGCTGTGTTGGCTATTGTGTAATGCAAATTTCTGTTCACAGCAGCATTTACTGTAAGCAGTCCCTCCCTTTGGCCACTCTTCTCTGTTCTCTCAGTGCTGAAGTCTTGAAAGATGTGAGGTTCATCAGAGTGGGGCATTGGATCCAGTTGAAAAGTAATGCAGAGAGAAGAATGATTGAGCCAGATCCACTCATGTGTCTGATTGAGCTGACAGCCGTGCACATATGTCAGTAGGAAGGACAGGAAGAGGAATGGTGTAAACAGGCAGTTTAACTTAAACCAGCCCTAAATGAAAGGTTCCAAGCGCTCCTAAAAGTTAAAACTTAAATTATTTCATCCTATTTCAGTAGCAAGAATGTTCCCTTGCTTCACTTTTTTTGTCATGTTCTTAATTTTCCATGAATCAGTGGGCAAAAATGTGTTCTAGAAATTGTCATCAAAACCTGTATGACCTCTACTTGACTGTGGGCTTTGTGGTTTCATTTGGACAGATGATGATCTCACATCTCCTCTTATTTCCTACACCCATAGTTTCTAGTACTGTCCCTTAACCATTTTTTAAATTCAAAATAATTTATTTTAAACTTAATTTTTTTAAATGGCATGAAAGGAATAATTCAAAACAAAACAAAAAGACCAATTTTTGAAAACACACTGGATCCACTTCTGAAGAATGTAATCTGCTGTAGTTGCTGTAAATGTCTGGCCATGGTTGATCATTGCCACTGATGTTTTTTCAGTAATGCCAGAGTTTCATCATCCCATGAGTATATTCTGTTGCTGATGGCAAAATTATTTTCTTGTTATTTCTTTTATTAAAACAAGTCTCAATTCAATTGCACCAGGGTTCAGTTTTTGCATAATTTTTTGAACTTTTCTGTAGATTAAATTTAACATTTGAATGGGTGAAATGAGGCTAATTTATTAAGTAGGCATAAGTTTTCAGAGTTTTTCAGCTGAAGATACATAAAACCAATTCACAAACCAAACTCTAAAAACATAAAAAATACCACAGCTTCTTTCAATAAAGATGATACAACAGAAATTTGCGTTGTTTCGTATTTTTTGTTTCTTTTTATGTATATTTCATCTTCATAGCATGAAAGTATATTACTGAGATAAATATGCTATGTCTTTGACTTGGTTAAAGATGTGTAGTCTCTGTGGGACTTGCAGAATACTACCACTGCTACTGATGGAAGTATTTGGTTGGTAAACTTCATGGTTTTGGGCTCGCTACTAAAAAAGAAGTGAGGCAAAAGTGGAGATTTTTAAACTGGATGGTCAAATTTGTAGTTTGCAGTCATGTACAGTCTTTATATACATGCTTACAAATTATTGTTGAATGTACTCAACTGAAAAAGAATTTTCCACCTGAATATCTCCATTACTTGGAATGCTGAGAAGTATCTTATTGCTGGACTTACAGGAATGGCCATATAATCCACCTCTAATTGTTTCTGCTTTATTTTTTCAGTCCAGTGACTCATATATAAAAATGAATGGCACTTCTGTCTTGCCTGTACCTGTGCATGTACCAGAATAACTTCTGAACAGTGCATCTCATTCATTCAATAATATTCTAAATATATAGCAGGAAATCCTTAAAAAGAAAATAAACAGGAAACTGGAACTGGAAAAAAACAAGTTGCTTTCAGAGCTCCTCAAGTATCTCTGCAACTTTAGTTTAGAAATCTAACAGTTGTTAGATGTCACCCATAATTAAAATAATGATGGCAATCCCCCTTCTAATTTCAATAGACTTTGTACATCTTTATTTATTCACATAGTTTTTTCACATCTTTATTTATTCCCTGATAATTAATGACAGACCAAAGTGTATTCTGAGACAGTGAAGATATGCAAAGAGGCATCAACATGGAAGTAGAAGGAACAGGACAACTGGAGATCTGTGAAAAAGAGGAAAGGACACATTGCAAGCACTCGGATTTTCTTATGAAAGAGTAAAGGAGCCAAATGGATGTTAAAGGATAAAAATAAGTAGGTAGAGGATACTGACTGAGAACAGTGAGCACCATTAAGTTAGGAGGGAATAGAAATCCTTAGTAAGAGAGCTGGGTAAATGGAGGACAACAATGACTGGTGGGAAAGTCTGAAGACACTGAAGTGAATCCTTGAAATAGAGGGGATTGGGAGGGTTGGTTATCCACATGGACCTGGGAAATGGAATGAATAAATACAAAGGGCCCAGGTATGTGTAGAGTTTGACCTGCAGAACCTATTAAGTTGCAATCATTTCTCCAACCCTGAAATACCATTTGATGCATTTCTGGGGAAATCTGTTCAAAATCTGCTGATACAAATGAAAACCAGTGAGGTTTTAAGTGGGTCAGTGACATACCATTTCTGAAGTTTGGGGACCAAGTCATAGGTATTGCTCTACTTTTCATAATGATATATATATAAACTGAGTTAGTTTCAAATAACAGCAGAGGTTGCTGTTTTATCTCCTGGTAAAGTGTACATTGGTGCTAAACAAAGGAAAACTCATGTAAGACACAATGAAACTAAAGCACTCTTAAAAATTACTTCTGCGAAATAAGGAATCAACTGAAACCAGATTTAGATGGTGCATTACACTATATTCAGAATATTCTTAAGAACTTTAGCTTTATCTTTGTACTGATACCACTAGTCTACTTCAAGTATTAAATCATTTAGTTCTTGCAGAGGAAAAATTCCCAGTGAAATCAATGGGACTTTTACTTAGCTATTTAGAGTAAGATTTGTCCCCTACAGTCACTGAAATACTTCGTATCTTCGTTGTCTTTGATGCAATTACCAATAACTTGTTCACCTCCTCTAGTGTTTGGGATAGACTCTATCCTGCCATGTACCTTCCATCAAGGCAGCTTTTATCACGTGAACCATTTTTATCATGTTACCATTTTTTATTATCAGCCTCCCCTGAAACACTCCATATCACAACACAGCAGCTGAGCCATGCAATGTCACAAAGTTTTATTCAGCCCTGTTTAACATACTTTCTCAGTTATTCCTTAGCACCTCTGCCCTGGTTACAGAGAAGGGGCTTGGTGGCCTTGCTCAGTGGTTTATTCTATACCACAAACATCATTGCTGGGAGCTGGTTTCAGCAGGAAAAGTTGGGGTGCTGGAACCAGGGATGCACCTGGCTTGACCCAGCAGAGGGGCTGACACCATTAACCCTGCAGACCTCGTCCCTCTGCCACTCAGACTACCCTTCCTGTTTTCTCTGGACCACAACCATGGACCTGTGGTGCTGATGGGACACCTGTGAAGTGTGCCTGGCAGATGAGCCAGGAGGCCAGGCAGCATGGAGTCAGAACTATGGGAAGCTTCAGCCATCTTGGGGTTTTGTTCCTGGTGGTAAATACCCCTTTGTGGGTAAAATATCTTCTCTTTTGCATACTTCTGTTGTTAATAAGAACTGCTGTTGTTATGGTGCATTTCTTATTCCATTGCTTTGCTCTTTTAATAAATTGCTATTTCAATGCATATTCTATGCTTTATTGTCCCTCCCTTACCAGAAGGGGCAGGGGAAAGGGAGTGGCATATTTGGAGTGTAGTTCCCTGCACCAGCACAACATCCCTGGAAGCTCTTCCACATAATTGAGTTCTAACCTTTCTGACACCAAAGTGCTAAAAACATAAGGGAAAATTGGTGGTGGGGAATGCTAATGGTGAGGAAGAAAAAATTATGTACATAGGGTAAATAGGAATGAGATACACTTAGCTACTAGAATGAGGTGAGGGTGAGTGAATGAAGCAGGGGGAAACTGTGAGCCTACAGAAAGTTTGGGAGATGGAAGGGGGGTATAATTTAATTATAATTTAATGCTCTCCTTCCCTCAGTTTTCACATTCTATTCCAACCTTATCCTCCTTGATGCCTCTCCCCACCTTAGATCCCTCTCTAAACATCCCACAGTAAGCCTTGCACATTCTTACAGTATCCCTAAAATAGCCAATAATAATTTTCAGATAATTATTTTTCCCTTGCATACCAAGTCTCACATCTCTTTGAAAAAACACTCCTTCAGTTCACAATGCATTCAGGGGAAACAGTTTCCTCCTCTGATGACCCCGGCAGTTTTCACCCCAGTGACAATGATCTGGTCATTCCCCTTGGATAGTCTTGGCAGTAGGCAATTGGCTTCTTTTTCATTGATCAGCTAGCTGGGCTTCCTTCACCTGTTACTGCTTCTCTGAGCCTGTTGGGTCTTTGTTTTTGCCACAATTGCCTCTGATAATTAATAAAATTTAATCAAAATTTAAGCAATACAGAGAAGTGCTTCTCACATGAGCAGAGTGTGGAACAGCTGCATTACAGGAAGAGACTAAAAAGGTGGGGGAGCTCTTCAAATGAAAGGGGAGAAGGTAGAAGGGGATTAAATAAAGATTTACAAAATATTGAAGACAGTGGGCAAGATAAGCACAGAACTGTTTTTAACCAAATCTACCTTACCAGGAATAGAGGGGATTCAATAGAAATAGTACTAGATCAGTTTACAACTTATTAAGAATGTGCATCTTTTGCAGTGAACAAATTCTGGACCTTGCTGCCACAGAGGGCTGTGGAGGCAAACAGAATCAGCAGGTTCAAAAGGAGGTTAGACAAACCCAGAAACAACAGCCCCTAAAGCAATACCAAAAGGGCTTTGTAGGTATGTAGCCTATGACATCACTAGGGTAAATATGGATTTGGGAGGAGAGTACAAAATACAGTGCCCAAGATTGCACACTCTCCTTAAACAGCATTTTGTTTTGCTGCTCTTAAACATGTTAACTCTTAAACATGTGGGTTAGGTAGGCTATTGGTCTGATCAAATATGGTTTCTAATGTTCCCTTACAGCAACAGTAAATTATTCAGACTAATACATTCCTGTAAGTTACATGGCTGGAAAACAAATATGTTAGGAATGACCAATTCTAAATAAAAAGCTATTGCTTTGATAGTGAAAAATTACTTAACTCTTAGGATCTGTAGCAATTCGTTGGTCTCAGTTCATATCTGTGGAATTAACTACATAATTCTTGATAGGACTGGGAATTCAATTAGTATTTAATTACTCTATAAACATACAGATTTTCCTTTTACAGTGCTAAGTTGCTACTGAATTATGGCTTCATTTTTGTTTGTCAGGAAATATTTTACAGAGCCAGCACAATCCTATTCAGTGAAAAAAAATATTCAGAATCAATCAACTGAAGACCTAATCCATGACAAGGTACATGTAATAATGAGATTACAAATACTTTACGTATTAAATATTCTTTACATTTTAACCACCATAATGATATATAATACACAGTGTAGTACCACACCAGTATAGACTGGGGACTGACATGTTGAAAAGCATCTCTGAAGAAAAGGACCTGGGGGTCCTGGTGGACAATGAGCTGTCATGAACCAGCCCTTGTAGCCCTGCAGACCAATGGTATCCTGGGGTGCATTAAGAAGAGCAGTTCCAGCATTTCCAGGGAGGTGATCCTGCCCCTCTGCTGAGCCCTTGTGAGGCCACATCTGGAGTGCTGTGTCCAGTTCTGGACTTATCAGAACGAGGAAGAAATGGAGCTCCTGGGGTGGGTAGGACAAGAGGCATTGAGAGAAACCAGTGCACAGGAAGTTTCACATGAATATGAGGAAGAACTTCTTAACTGTGCAGGTGACTGAGCACTGGAACAGATTGTCCAGAGAGGGTGTGGAGTCCCTCACTGGAGATATTAAAGAACCATCTGGACACAATCCCGTGCCAAGTGTTCTAGGATAATCCTGCATGGGTAGGGTGGTTGGGCCAGACGACCCACTGTGATCACTTCCAACCTGAAACATTCTATAATCTTGATTTTCACTTCTCTTCTGCTCTCAAGAAAAATCTGTGGTCTTCATCTTTGTGAAGGAAATTTGAAATCAGAGAGCTAAAAAAGTAAAACACATTAGTCTTAGGCTGTCAAAGGTGGCCAAGACACAACTCAGCCTATACTTTCTACTCAGCTACTGTGTCTTGTGGCCAAGACACAATCCAACCTATGCTTTCCTCA